TGTACACACACACAACTGATATATTTGGTCATTTATTGTTCCATTTAAGTCCATAAATCACAACTTTTAAAATTACTGATGTGGACCTTTGAGATATCTGAGGAGCTGGCTATGTGACTTTTTGAGCAGCTAACTTCCCTTCTATTAATGACAACTGAAGTGACCCAGAAAATGTGAAGTGTAAAAATATGCACAAGATAGGGTAGTAATACTACAAAAAGTAAAATGATAATACGGGATGGCAAAACTATTAAACACTAATCAAATTGAAAAAATAAATAAATAAAAACAAGTTTGCACCAGATGGAAGTAAAGAGTACTCCCAAAATCTTGAAACATCCAAGAGTCATGATTAGACAGAGGGACAATAGGAACAAAAAATTTCATGTTTTAAAAAATGACAACTTAAATGAAATAAATGAATTCATAGAACCAACTTACATAGATGTACTTAAGGAGAAACAGAACATCTGAATAGTCCTGTATCTATCAAATAAGTAAATGTACAAATAAACAATTTTCATAAAGAAAATTTCAGCCTCAAAGGCATTATTGGTTAATTCTAAGAAACATTTAAGGAAAACTTAAGCCATTTCTTATACAATCACTTTGAGAACAGAAAATGAGATCAACCAAGTGTACAACAGTAGTATAACTTTGATAGGAATCTAAGAGGGTCACTTGTTTTTAAAGACTATATGAATATGCAGGAACCAGGTAGCTCTCACTTCTCTGCCAGTGTCCCACAAAAAGATTAATCCTGACACCCTAAAATTTCCATTATGTGAGTTAATTTCTCCTGTACATCTAGAATGGTTATCATACATGACAGAATTGAAAAATCATTCTGATAATTTTTAAGTTCTCTATTTAAATCAAGAATATCAATTAAGAAAAACTAGCAGATGATTTTGAAGAAACAAAACAAAGAACTGTATCACCATAAAATAAGATTAGTTCTCAGTAATGAAGTAAGTTTGATATTTCAGGAAAAGATAAAAAGACTAACAGAATTGAAAAGAATGTTCAGAAACAACTCTGCACAATCACTGAGTTTGATATATGACAAAGGTGGTGCTGCAGAGTAGGAAAGGTTAATCTTACAATTAATACTGCTTATTAATGGGATGTCTATGTCTGTATTTAGCTCTAGATTATTTTACTCTTATTTTTCTCTACTGACAAAAATTCCATTCCACATAGGGTATAGATCAAATATAAAATGTAAACAATAATACTTCTAGTAAGCAACATTGGAAGAATACTTTTTATTAATATAGGATAAAGAGAATGAATATAAATGAAAATATTTGTAAGTAAGCTATTAGGAACCCATATTCATAAAAAATACCATTAAAAGTGTGAAAATACAAGCCACAAAGTAGAGAAGATATTTTCAGTGTACATAGCCACGAAAAGATTCCCTAACATACACACACAAAAAATACGTATCCGCTTCAAGAAAGGATTCATCCAGTTAATAACCCTGGCCTTTGATTAGTTGATTGCTTTCAGCTACTAGCATCTTCAGCATCTCCTGCTTTTGAACTAAGTGTCTCCTGCTTTTCACACTATTTCAGAGCAACACTACCCAAAGGAAGCAGGAATCCAAGTTACTTTTTTCTTGGGGAGGCACCAAGCTAATGACTTTACAGTACCGCTGTTTAATAATTATTTTGTATTTTTAACTCTTTGTCTGTGGCTGTTTCCCTAGAACACAAACTGTGACAGATTTGTGTACAAAACACATAAAGAACTTTCAAAAATAAAATAATAACTCATTTTTAATGGACAAAAACATGAATTGGCATATTCACCAAATAGGATATCCAAGAAAAGCTGCTAAACCTCATTATTCCTGGGGGAAATGCAAGCTAAACCACAATGGTTTATAATTACATGTCCACCAGAATAACTAAAATTTAAAAGATGAAAATATCAAGTGTCAGAAAGTAATCCATTTGGTAAAATTTTTGGTGATATAACTAAAATACAAAATATAGACATCCTATAACTCAGCAAGTCCACTGTTAAGTTTAAATGCAAAAGAAGTGTGTGCATATGTGTATGTGTGTGTACCAAAGTATATATTAGACTTCACATGCTGAAATGTTCTCAGTAAGAAACAAAATCCTGGAAAAAAAACCAACAATCAAGATTTAAAATAATTAGATCAATGAAAATAAACAAACTACTTCTACAAAGAATAGCATGGATGGATCTCACAATATTAAGCAAAAGAAGTTAGACATAAAATAATCATACTATGTGATTTTACTTATATAACATTTTAGATCAGGAAAAGAAAATTTTGTGTGTGTGTGTGTGTGTGTAGAAGAACTGGGGTATAGGCCAGAGGTTTGGAGATTGAGAGGATTTACCAGAGACAGAGTGGGCAAAACAGGCAGATTTATTGAAATATACTGTTAAGGGGAACAGTGGGCGAGACAGGAAAGGTCTGCTGCATCATATGTGGGTTTACTTCCTGGCTGGGGATAGAACTCTGGGCGTAGAGGTGAAGTGCTGAGACTTAACCCCTAGGCCACCATGGAGGCCCAGTAAAAACTAAACTTTGTACTATAAGTGAAGATAACAGCTACTTTTAAGAAGTATTGCCTAGAATAAGGCAAACCTTTCTAACGTGTTCATTTTCTTCTGCCTGATCTGGTTGATAGGAAACTGTATATAATCACTTTGTAAATATACTTGGACTATACACTCATTATTTGCATACTCTTCTGAATATTTGGTATACTTATATGAAAAGGCTTTATTTTAAAAATTGTAATATTGGGGCCTCCCTGTTGGCACAAGGTGTTAAAGCACTATGAAGCTATCAGAAGCCACTGCAGCATGATTTCCATCCCTAGCCAGAGAGCTAATCCACCTGGCACAACAGACTCTCCTGTCTTGCTTGCTGCTCCCCTCAGCAGTGTATTTCAGTAGATCTGCCTGTGCTGCTCCCCATTCTGTCTCTGGTAAATCCTCTCATCACCCCCTGCACCACCAGCCTATAATTTATGAATGTCATTTCGACTTGTACCCAATTAATGCAGTCCCTTCTTGTGTTAATTTTGCAGCAATACGAACGAGCATAATTACTCCAGTCTTGGTACTATGAAGTGATTACACTAATAAATATTGACCACAGAAATCAATCTGATTGCTATAAGGTCACATCACACACTGGGGAGGCCATGCAATACAATTTTGTAAGGAAGTAAGTGATCAAAGAAACTCCACAATGAGGAGGATAATGCTGAGGGTCACAAGTTAACGAAAGAGGTCCCAAGGGCCAAAGATAAGCAACCTGAACAAAATAATGAAGGACTGAATTATAATCAAAAGCATAAAATAATTATCCTTGAATCCATGCTGATATAAATATATAATTAATTTAAAAATGAGGAAAAATAACCAAATACTCCATGCATAAAATTTCCAAAAATTTGTTGAAGATATTCTGCCCCCAAAGAAATGAAACATCACTCTCCACTGTGTTCAAGGCCAACATCAAGTAATACATCATATTTATAGTATATATGCTTGGCATGATTTTGATATGATTTGATGAGAACAGCACTTGAAATTGGAGGTTTGCCTATCAAAGCCCATAGGCACAATCTAAGAGAAATGATCAAACAAATCCCAATAGAGGGACATTCCATAAAATACCTAGCCAAGGTCATCAAAAACAAGAAAAGGTTAAGAAATTGTCATAGTCAAGAGGAGCCTCAAGAAGCATGATAACTTAATGTGATGTGGTATTCCAGATAGTATCCAGAACCCACAAAGGACATTAGGTAAAGATAAAGAAATATGAATTAAGTATTGACTTTAATAATAATGTATCAATATTGGTAGTGACATTAATGGTGACAAATGCACTATTTAATGCAAGATGCAAAATATAGGGGAAAATTGAATATAGTCTGTAATTCAAAAACTTTTCTAAAATAAAATTTTATTTACAAGATCAAAGATGATTAGGGAGGGCCTCCCTGGTGACACAAGGGATTAAGATGCAGCACTGTGAAGCTCTCCCCAGCCACTGCAGCATGAGTTCGATCCCTGACCAGGGATCTAACCCACATGTCTCAGCAGACCCCTCCTGTTTCGCCCGCTGTTCCCCTCAGCAGTGTATTTCAGTCAGTCTGCCTGTTCTGTTCCCCACCCTGTCTCTGGTGAATCCTCTCACCTCCCCACACCTCTTGCCTATACCCCAGTTCTTGTATGCATAAATAAATAAATCTTTTTTAAAAAAGATGATTAGGGGGCCTCCCCGGTGGCACAGCGGTTGAGCACTGGGTTGCGAAGCTGCTCATCAGCCTCTGCAGCAACGGTTCGATCCCTGGCTACTCCCCGGCCACCGGAGGTGGGTCCCACATGGCACACAGACCTCTCCTGCCACCCGCTGCTCCCCTCAGCAGTGTACTTCAGTCCTTCTGCCTGTTCTGCTCCCCGCTCTGGCTCTGGTGAATTCTCTCACCATCCCACTCTTCTGACTATATTCAGTGCTTGTATAAAATAAATAAATAATTCTTTTTTAAAAAATTTAAAAAATTAAAAAGATGATTAGGAAACTATGTAAGATTATTTTTAAGTAAAAAAAAAAAGCACCTTACATATATAGCTAAATTTTTGTCATTATGATGTAGTTTTGACCAATTCTTAATGCTTTCAAATGTCCTATTAGTTCCCTATTCCTTCAAGTTCATCCTTCTTAATAGTCACCTATAAACCTGTTTTAGTTTCTTTTAAAGGAGTTCAGTTAAAGTAAGTATAGGAAAAAAATGAGCTTATAAGGAATCAAAAAGATTAGTGCCATCTTTGACACTAGCAGAAAATGAGATCTCAAGCAACTCACTAGTCTCCTTATTTCTTCATATTTCTTATCTGTAGAAATGTAATGTAAGATATATTTTTAAGCGCTAAGATTTCTAGGTATTAAGATACTCTTAGTTATTAGGAATGATCAATGAAATCTTACCTCAAGAATCTTCTATCATTTTTAGTAGGCATCGCCAGCTATTAATAATTCCTGATAGTGGAGGAACTAGAAAAAATAAATGGAATAGAAATAATTGTCATAATAGGTCTACTGCTTAGTAGATTTGGTTCAATCTCTAAGAAATGTATTTTTTTTCCAAATTTTCTAAATATTCTATAAATAACCTGAAAATCCAGGTTATTTTTATTTATACCATTTGTTGAAATACAACTTAGTCTGACATAGCATATAATAAGCTGTAGAGATTCTAACAGTTTGCAAAGACTTTGCCCTAATCCTGATTTATACCTTTTTAAACCAGATTTTTCATAAATATTGGATAATAAATGCATTAGTTAACATAATGTCTTCTTCTCCTCCAACTCCTCTTAAGAGGACAGTTTTTTCTGGAAAACACTAACTGGCCTATACCCCCAAAACAAGTATTTTGTCCCCCTTTATGGACAGTTTTACATAAATCGTTGCCTAATTCTTATTGACTGCATTTTGGTCATTTGACCAAGACTAGCTGTGAGAGAAGTTGGAAAATAACAGGAATTTTTTTCCCTAAATAGTCATGTTTACAACAAATCATCCTTCTGTCTTGAAGATGAAGGAAGGATGTCGCAGATATGTAACCAGCATCCTCTGCCATGGGTGTGTCCGAATTTAACATTTCAGAGAGAGAGCAGTTCTTGAATGGTAAAGTCCAAGAGTAATAGTTTGCTGAAGTATAGAGAACATAAAAAATACTACTGTTGGGGTATTTTAAAATACTTGAGGTGAGGACATTGGATGGATTATTATCCAGGACACTTAATTTTGGGAGAAATCTGTGAGAAAATTAATTTCTACAAAATCAGATGTGATTTTTCATAAGAAGAACATTCTGTAACAGGGTGGAAGAGTCATTCCATAGAGTCAGTAGACTTTTAAGTGCATCCCTTTACCCATCAGACTAAAAGATACAGAAGGTAAGGATGAATGAAGGATTTTGAGCAATACGGGTAAGAAAGAAAGCATGTCCCTTCCCAAACTCCAAATAGATTTGGAGTTTGATCACAACCTGGTCATTCATTATTTTTGTGATGATTGACAAGGTCTAAAAGCATCTTGTTTCCTCATTAATAAACAGTCATAATTTCCACCTCAAAAGTGTCTGGGAAAGATTAGCCAAAATAACATTAAACATTGCTGAGCTCATAGTATATTATCAAAAACATTCAGCTACACAATCTCCTCCACCCACAAGTTTCAAACCATTCTGATACAGATTTTTTTTTTTTTTTACATTTGAAAGTAGTGTTTTCTAGAAAAAAAATTAAACAGAGTACAAGAATACTCTGGTAATGCATTAAATGACCTTCAGTTAGAAAGGTACATATTAGAGGTAACTTATGATGAATGGGGGCCGTCTGCTAGGTCATAAATTCGGCCACTTGTTTTTCTTAGTAATCTCTATTAGACATTGGGAAAGAGAGGGTGCTGTGAGTCTCAATGCCATGTTGGAAGAATAAGCAAATATCTGCCCAGGGTGCCACTTTGCTAAGAGCTTGCCATATGTCCACGATGCACTGAAGCATCAACAGCACATCTCATTTATATCCCCATTTGACAAGCACAACTTAAAGCAGGCTTGCACGTATGTGCTTGTCTAATTCCCATTACTGCCAATTATGTGCACACGGCAGGAAAACCACGTCTCTTCAGAATAAGGCTTCTTTTTCCAAAGAAGAAAGCCTGTAAACTTAGAAAAGAGCAAATGATTTCCTGTATGTATTAGCACTTTGTCTACCAGTGGATATTTAATTTTATAACCTTAACTATTATTCAGTTGTGACCACATACCCTATATGAGCTTTCAAAAAAATAAAGACATTTTTAATCTATTCCCTGGCAAGCCCTAGCGGCAATTTGTCTTCATAAAGCACCCTTGCCATGTCATTTTCTGAAATTCAGAGTCCAAAATTTGTCTCAAGGCTAAGATGCATTAGGAAAAGAAATGAAATACATCAAAATAAAAACACTTCTATGTCTTTTTATTTAAATTCTAATAAACTAGAGTGTGCCATTTTTAAAAGGAGATAAGGAAATTTTAAACCAGTTTTCATCTTCAGATTCTACAAGGGAGTATTCATGACATATTTTTTTGCCATAACAGCTCAATACATGACACTGTAGCATAAACAAGAAGCACATTTCTATGTTCAGTTACCCCCAGGATATTTATGATGCAAACAAAAGTCAAAACCTAATAATATTTTCTTATTTTAAAGTGTTTAAGATTAGAGACCATCAGAGAAAGTATATTTTCATAAGAGAATATATGATCAAAACTGTGGCACTTTAAATCATAACAATAATAAAGCAGATTGATTGTATTCTTTCACCAAAATCTACCTACATTTTAGAGAAACCAATTTGAAGCATAATTGACATGTATTACACTAGTTTTATGTATACAGTATATTGATTTCAAATCTGTACACCATCTAAAATATTTACCATAGTAAGTCTTCCCATTTACTCTTGGAAACTTCTCAAATTTGTAATAGTATATTATCATATACTATGTTATTGGCTTTGGACCCTATGCAGTACACTCCCTCCCCTAGTTTGTTTTATTGCTGGAAATGTGTACCTCATGATTCCATTCACCCATCTGATCATCCCTCTCCACCCGCCAAGGCTCTTTTTGATTAATAGATCCTGGTTGGTTTAAATAATTAGTCAGTTGGGAGGTTCCTTTTCTTGTGCTTTAAATTCCCGCAGTTATGATTTTAATTCACCAATAAAGAGTAAGTCCATGAAATCCTAAACTCTCACTCTAGGCCTCAATAAAAAGAATCCCAGGTCATGCGCTCGCTCTCTCGCGCTCTCTCTCTCTCCACACTGACCTCACTGTGTGTCACTGGGTATACTTTGTATGCTCCAGAGTCTCTAACTAATAAACTTTTCTTTCTTCTCAGTTTCCTGATGGTTATCACAGAAGGGCTTACTACAGTCCTAATAACTACAAGGTTCAATATTAGGTCCAGCCCTAATATTGGCTGACAAAGGAAAATGCCTACAGGGAAACTCACTGGAGTCCAGGTCGGTGCCCCAAGCACGTCTAGCCACTAGCAAGTATGATTATAAATAGGCTGAGACAGACACAAAAGAGCTATACAGAAGCCTTTTAGTTTGACAGAGTCCCATGTATTTCTTTATTTTTACTGTCATTGATTTTGGGTTCAGATTCCCCCCTCAAAAATCTCTAAGACCAAAGTCAGGGAGGTTACCACATGTGTTTTCTCCTAGGAAGTTTATGTTTTCAGGTCTTGCATTCAAATCTTTAATCATTTTCAGTTAATTTGTGTGCACAATGTAAGACGGTGGTCCTGTTTCATTATTTTATATGTGACTGTCCACATGCAGTGACCTTTATTCAAGGAACTGTCTTTTCCCTGTTAAGTTCTTAACTCCTTTGTTATATAAATTGACCATTTATGTGTGGGCTCATTTCTGGGCTTTCTTATTTTAAAGTGTTTAATATTAGAGACCATCTATGTCTCTGTTTTTCTGCTGGTACAATACTGAGAAAAACCCATATATTTTTTAAAGATTTATTATTTATTTATTTGTTTGTTTGTTTGTTTGTTTGTTTGTTTGTTTATTTGTTTGTTTATACAAGCACTGGGTACAGTCAGAAGTGCGGGAGGGCGAGAGGATTCACCAGAGCCAGATCGGGGAGCAGAGCAGGCAGAAGGACCGAAGTACACTGCTGAGGGGAGCAGCGGGCGGCAGGAGAGGGCTGCACTCCTTGTGGGACTCTCCTCTGGTGGCCGGGGAGCAGTCGGGGATTGAACTGGCACTGCAGAGGCTGCGGGCAGCTTCGCAACCCAGCTCTCAACCACTGCACCACGGGGGAGGCCCCGAGAAACCCATTTTTTATGGAAAATCAAATAGTAAAATAAAATCTCTTCTCACACTATAATACCAAAAATAAGCCAAGACCCAATGCTTCGAGATGCAGTTTATACTTGCTTTATTTATCCCTAGTAAACATATTGGCTTTGTCCACAGTGGAGACTAAGCAGAATAATACCTTCAAGACTGAACAAATAAAAAGCAACAGTGAACTAACAAGACATTCTTTAAGTTGGGTATGTGCAAAATAGCTCTTTTTAAGAGTCATGGTTCAACTTGGTTATTCTAAACAGAAATGGGATTAGTTGTTATTTAGCTGTTATTTTTAAGTGAATTAGATAAACACTCAGATTGATTTGGGTTTCAAATCAAACTTCTGGAAAGCTAAAAAACAAAGTGCTGTAAATGTACATGAAAATGCATCATTAAAGGGACAACCAAGTCACCAGGTTCTGGCTTGCTCCTTAAACTCGCAGTTTTATTTTATTTCATATTTAAAGAGAAGGTTTATTAGGGAAAGGGACAGAGGAATAAAGGAAACTTGCACAGACACAAGTGGGCAGGAAGAGCTGCCCCTAAAGAGACAGGTTTGCTAAGAGAGGCCTGCATGGTTGCAGGTGGGCAGCCTTGAGGAGAGTGGCCTCCGCTGAGGGAGATTAGTGAAGTGAAGTCACTTGCAGTTTTAAACTGGCTGCCAAGTCTCTCTCTGTTGAGTGGCTGTTTAGGTTGCTGGCTAAATAGCTGGAATCACAATATCATAATATAAACAAATAACTTCTACATTGCTCCTCTCTACCTCCTCAACAGCCCTAAAGTTTTTGACAGTATTTGAGAAATAAAACAAATAACATGGAAAAAGGTGAAAATGTTAATATGCTTTATAATCCATTTAAATAAGTACATTTTCAGGGAAAAATGAGTTTCTTTTCCATTCACATTAAAGGCTACTTGCCACAAAAATTTACTCATCACATCTACCTATAACGTGTTACTTTTCCCTTTAAAAACAAGGATTAACTAGCTGATATTCATAAACCACATTTATGTCCAGCCAAAAATTTTCTCTTTTTGTATATATTACCTAAGTCTGATACTGGCACCAAACAACTTCCAGATTTGAAATCTGGAAGTCACTTTTGCCATTTCACCACACTTAC